ATTTTGATTTCGTAGTTAAAGGTGTCTCTACCTGTCCACAAAAGTATATGCCTGGCTAATGCCAGAAAAATTAGTTGGATATATCCAGTAGACCTTGTTACGCATCTGTTCGTCCATTGAAATACGACGGTAACAATTAGTTTTCATGGATTATATCAGGGATCGTTAGAGTCTTGTTTTGTTTTTTTCCTTTTACTGAAAATATCTTGTTTTCCTGGACATTATTATTACAAGTTCCTTTGAAACACACGCAAAAAAAGTTTGAACTGAAACTTATTTGCTCTGTAAGAGACGCCAAAGCTTTTTTTTTTTTTTTTTTGATGAGGGGAGCAGCAGAGGTGGTGGGCATACTCTCCTTTGAACCTCAAACTTGTTTTGCCAGAGAAATTTCCAACCGAAGTCAAGCAGAAGAGTGACTCTTCTTCTATAGGCTGGCCCTTTTTAGTAAGTAAAACATGGATACTGCTGAGAAGTTGGCTCCTAGTACCCACTCTCATGTTTTAATGATAACCACATAGTTAATGCCACAGATAATTTCCATCGTGTATTCACTGTTACTAAATTAGCCAAAGCATTTTAGAAAGCAAATGAGAAATAAAGTTGATTTTAGTTTTTTGAGTCTCGTAGCCCCATGGGATGTTTTCTTCTCTTGCCGTCGACCAAAAAAACTTTCCTTGTCAGCTTCACTGCTTACCTTCCAAGGAAAGCCTCCTTGGGATTTCTAGCATTCTTAGAGTAACATAAAATTAAAATGCTGAAGATAAACAAGACATCCAAAATAATAACCTTTTGGTACTTTGGAAGTAGCTATCGTAGAACATACGGGAGGTCTCTACTAAACCCGGCCTGGAACCAGGATCTGTGAAAAAAAAAAAAAAACTCAACCCTTACTCATTTTGCCTTGTTGATAGAAAATCTAAAGAGTTTGATTTACCCTACTAAGTTTGGGAAGGCTTTTCTAATACTTATGTTTGTGCCTAGAGACTTCAGGAATGGGCATGAATTTTATACCATATTGATGATGCCCTCTCCTAGTTTTACAATCTGCCCGAACTATAATATATCATTAGTATGGATATGTATACAGAATGATCTTTTCACCGATATTTACCACTCACCACAAGGAGAATTAACTATAAAGGATTCTTTAAAGTAGAGCAGAAACCTGATAAATTCTACACATTTTTTAAATTAAATGTTTTTTTAATTAATTATACCCTCTTGGTGTGAAATGAGGTTAAAAGTAGTTCTTAATTATTCTATCCAGATAAAGACAACTTTGAATACAAGTTAGTAGGAGTTCTATAGTATGAGCGTTAGTAAATTGAAGTAGCAAGGAATGAGAAGATATACCCACTCAGATTAGGACCCTAGTAATTCCAGTGCCTGTTAAATATAGATTATCCTAGAAGTCTAGTTGTAAGTTTCAGTAGCTTAAGCTTAAAACTGGATTGACTTTTAGGACATCCTATGTAATAGGAATCCCAGATTTGTCAGTGGTAAATCTTTAAATTGTGCAGAATAGAAGGGTTTTTAATTTGGAAAAATATGTAAGTCAAGAATGCTGAAACCATTTGAAACTTTATACACTGTACATAAGAAAGGGGTGTATATGAAGAATTCTACATAAGCTTTCAAGGCATAGAAGATTGAATCTTAATTCCTAAATCTGTCAATGGTTGAGTTTTTTGTTTGTTTTGGGGTTTGGGTTTTGTTTTTGTTTTTGTTTTTACATTAAGTTTCAATCAATGTTGAGTATATTTAGGAGGCAGATTGGTTATATCACATGGTAGTTTCTATGTGTGTTCATAGATTATTTACTTGCCTGTATGTATTTATATTTAAATAGTGGTATTGTCTTAACCTTGATGCCATGCCATAATCTTCAGCCATTGTCTTACATTTTAAATTCCATTTTTCAATATCTTATTTTCATTCTTTTCTGCTTTAAACGACTCTCCCTTTGATACCAGTAAGCCTCTGAGGAATTTAAATAGGCCCTAAATGAGAGCAATACTTGAATTTCATTCATGTGTTCAAGTTAGATCATTATTTTTGATAATCACTCTAAGTACTTAGATCAACCCTTGGTACCCTTGAATTGCTTGTCATTTCTTGATAAATAAGTTTCAAACTGCTTTACATGATCTCTTTCATTTTTTTAAGCAAAAAAAGTAAAAGTAATACAATCCACTCTTCATGTATTGAAAGTCAGAAAAGGAGCTTTTTATTATTTTTGCAAAAGTGATGTATTTTTAGGTACTGGAAGTAAAGAACAGAATTTTAGCCTTAAGTGATAGCCTAGTGGAGGTTTTTTTTGTTTTGTTTTGTTTTTTTAAGATAAATTATGAATGTAGCATTAAAGACCTACCAATGGTTTTAACCTTTCTTTTGCATTTATTTCCATTATACCCAGGTTCAGGTTATCATCAACCACCGCAAGAAAACCTATGTAATTCCTAGAGATGGAAAAGTTGCACTGTTAGACTTAATCGTATGGTAGTCATAGAATCATCAGTTATCTTCATCAAGGCAATTCAGATTTGATTATCTTAGAACTCAGTTGAATACCAAACCCGTGGAAGAGTAGTTAGTGAAATCAAGAGATTGTCATTTCTGTTAATTGATTGGAGCAGGTTTGTTGTACATATGAAAGGTGCATTTTTTTTTTTAACAGAAAAAGAATAGGGCCATTTTGGTCATTAAATCACAGCTTGTTAGCTTGATGAATTACAATTATTTAACCTTAACATTCAATACTCTAGTGTAATTCCCCTCTGAAGATGGTAACCTACATGAATTCTTTGCATTAAGGTAGAATGTACCATTTTATTTATAGGTAGATCTCTAAAAAGCAGGAGTTCTTAGATGGAGGTCTGTGAACTTTTTTTTTTTTAACATTTTGATGAACTGTATTTCAGTAGAATTAATTTCCTTTTAATCCTATATGTTTTATTTTCTGCATTTAAATGCATTATTGTATGCATTTTGAGAATCTTTCCATGGGCTTCACAAGACTGCCGAAAGGGTTTATGATACAAAAAAAGTTAAGAACCCCTGCTCTCAAAGCACTGGTATTGGAGCCTAAAAAAAAAAAGGCAAGAAGTTAATGTGCTGATTTCAGATGAGCCTGCTTATGTATGCAAATACCGTTGAGATTCATATAAGAGATTTTAAAAACAAAGCCTTTCCCAGTTTTTATTTTCTTTTAAGTATTTTTATGGAAAATTTATAATTATGGTTTTAAAGAACCATTCTTTGCTTAGGTTTTTATTTAGTTGTTTGACTGGAGTTGTATTTGTTTAAGAAGTATTCTTTTGTTTAAATTTCATTTGCTTTGGAAAAGCTTATATATGGGAAAAGTGGTATTTTCATAGAATCCCAAATATGTCGACCATTGTAATAGCTTCCAAATTAATCTTCCTGCCTTCAGTCTGTCTATCTGAACCCTCCCTGATTCATTCTTCATACCCTTTCAAAACTAACAATTCTCACGCCAAGAGCAAGCACCACAAAGTGCCCCGAATGGCCAGGAAGAGGAGAAAGGAGCAGGGGAACCACAAGGCAAGTGGAGCTTTAGGATGTCAGGTTTTATGGGGGAGAAAGACCCAGATACCAGGCCATGGCAAGGAGACAAAGACCCCAGGATCCCACCAAACCACCACTGGGGAAAGTTACTACCAAGGGAGACACATACCTAGAGTACGACCACCAGGGCTAGTTAATCTGGCTAACGAGGTGCAGAGCTCAGCTTTCGCTTTCCACTCAATTCGTACAAATGCCATCATGACTCTCTAGCTTCCAGGGCCCAGGGGGAAAAGCCTCAGTCACCATCCCAAGTTAAACACACCGCTTCATGTCCTGCCTCCGTAATCGTCCGAATTCACCGTAAACTGCTTCAACAGACGGCTTCAGTGGCTCGTCATTGCCTGCTGAACAGAGCTGGACTTAACTTCTTCAGCCACACTGGACTCATCCCTTGAAAGCCCGTCCCTTCCTCACAGGACTGCCTTCTCCCCGCTTCCAACCAGAAGTGACCCTGGCCTCCTCGTCATTCTCCCTGTCGTCGCTGTCTAAACCTCCCCCTTGCATTGTTCACGTTCCCCCATGTGCCCTTCGTACTTGTACATCTCTTTTCTTCCCTATTAGATTGTAAGCATCTTGAGACCAAGGCTTGTGGCCTAGCCTTGTGTCCCTACACATCTGGCACAATCTTTGATTGACTATGGATAAAAGGTTGGGGTGGGGGGTGCACCACTTTACCTAATACTCAGAGGGGCTTTCTTTGGTGTTTACAAATAATGATAAGTTCCAGAAAAGCAGTTCTATTGCTGTTTCAATGAAAACATGCATTGGTAAATTGGCTTGTGTGAGGCGATGGTTAATGTGCTAATGATTTCCAGTGCCTAGCACATTTTTGGCACTCATCAAATATTTGCAAATGAAACTCTGTGCCACAGAAATGAATAATTGTAAAGCATTGACTAAATTCTGAAATACCACCTAAGCTTCAGGCAGAACAAAAGACTCTGTGCGCCATCTAGTGGACATGTTGTACGTATTGCTCATCGGGAACTCCTCTCAAGTAATCTTCATCTACATCTTACTTATTTTTCGGAGCCAGTTGGCAAATACATCATACTTGTCATGGATCATGTGATTTTGCTGGTCTTAAAAGGATTAGCCTTTTCCCACTTATATTTTAAAATTAATATCTCAAAATAAGTATCTGTCAAAAAACTGATAAAACAATAACAAAAAATAAATAAAAGACAAACTGATAGATTTTCCATAGTTTTCATCAGTAAGACAATCTCTCGCATTACTAATATATCTATCTAAACTATCCAAATAAAACTCAAGTATTACATTTATTTCTATTTATTTCATCTTAGTTAAAGATATCAATGTGTGGTTTCATTTATACCTTTTTAACTATTGATGTGCAGCTTGTTTTAAGCATTTTCTAAATCCTGTTTTCTGGACTATTTTTACTTTAGAGAAATCCAAGACCAGTGACGCATCAATTTCAACAAAATTTAGATTATTACAAGGCATGTGGAGCAGACCTTATGAATAAAACTCGGTAAGCACTCCCTCTGTCCTGAATGCTGCATTTTATCAAGCTATTGTTAAAACTCAATATTAAATGTTATGTGCTGAGTAAAAGATAATTATTTAATTCATCTACAGGTAAAGGACTGATAGATATAAGAGTTGTTTTAAACCATTAAAAATTAACAAATTATCATTTAGTGTTGAAATGAGATATTAAATTCATAGGCTATCAAATTCATTTTTTGATATTAAACAACTTAACATTTCTAAAGCTAAACCTGGGCTCATGGACTTAAATAGTCTATTTCCAAATATTGGTTAGATTGATGGAAACAAAGAGGCAGTTCCACAGCATATTTTTTAAATTATTTCTACAAAGTTGGGTCTCCAGAAAAGAACTGGAGCCAAGACACAGGCATATTAGTGTTCGTCAAGATCCTCGGACCATCGCGCTCGAGCCAGAAAGGAGCCCGATGGCTTCTGGACCAGACTCTCATTTGAGGACAGATAAAGGGACAGAGCCCTCTGGAGGTGAATGAAGAAGCTTCCCAAGGTCATAATCAGTAAGTGTCAGAGCTCAATTTGAACCCAGGTCCTTGGATGCCAAAACCAGCACTCTTTCCGTTGGACAACACCAATCAAAATCATCACCTAAACGTGGGCACATTAGCTGTGCTGCCAAGTTGGAAGCGCTCTCATGTGTAAGGAGAAAAGATCGCCCTGTTTCCCACTGTTCTTCCTTTATCTTTTCCTGTTTCCCGTTACCTAGGGACACTGTTTCATGGCAGTTGCACTTCATTAGAGGGAGAGAAAATGTGAGAAAATGGCAGAAGTGAACTTTGGGCTTTGGAACCCACTTTGTTCCCATACATCTGTTCTTTTCACTGTGTTCTCATGTGTTGACCCATTCTCCTGCTGCGGTGTCCTGTGTAATTCACATCCAGATCCCTGGCATATGAGTCGTCCCTGGATCTGTTCTCTGTTTGTTTATGTAAGTGTGTGTTCTTGTTGGCATTAGTAGGCCCTGTCTCCCCACTGAGCTCTTTCATCCCTTCCCTGCCCCGCCTCCCTTGCCTCCCATTGGTACTTCCTATTCAGTATAAGAGGTAGGAGACACTCATTATCCAAGGTTAAAAAACCACATGTGCTTGTTCCAAGTCTGTGTGGAGGAAGAACGTCTGAGTCTCCCCAGAGCTTTTCCTGCCCCTTCGTGCTTGCAGCCCTGAGACTCAGCCAAAAACTCCTCATCTGACTGTATTCCATTACTTGCTACACCCCATTTGATGAGGTTTTCATTGAGCTATTTTTAGGCCTGGGATGCTCAGATCAGTCTAAGACCAGACTGGAACCTCTGAGTAGAGCTCACATTCACCCGGCCATTCACAGATCTAAGTCCAGGTACATTGGACAGGAAATAGAAGAGAAGTGGCCCAAGCAAGGGGAGTATGGAAGGACCAGGGTCCCCTGAGGAAAGCACTAGGAAGCCAGTTACCAGAAGGAGTTGGGAATGAGGAGATAAAGAGACAGCTGATGCCTGCTCCTTTTGTGGCAGTGGCCTTCTATTAGCATGACATAGCCATATAAGGGAAGAGGAGTGCAAGAATGCCATGTGATCTCATGGATAAGAATATCACCAGACATCAAGAAGCCTGATTTCTCTTCTCTGCTTTACCATGGATTGCTATAATTAAGTCTTTAAAGCAAGTGCCTAGGTATTTTAGTGATAGGCTCTCCATTACGTACATGGGTAATACACAGCGTACCCTGATTTTACTTGCTGATAAATTTCTTTAAAAGACACACACATGCACCAAGTGGGAACTGACTTTTTCCTCATCATACCATTAGCATCAGCGGTTAAGTAGGAAAAAAGAAAAGATAATTTAACATTTTAAATCTTGTTACAGTTTTTGGCTCAAATATGCAAAAGTGGGTTTTATAAAAATGTGTAAATTGTGACTAGTCTTAGGAAATACCTATTTAATTTTTAAAGGTTTTAATTTAAGAGTCTGTTGCTACTAAAAAAAGCCGTACTGAGTATGCATAGCACAAAATTTCTCTACGTTAAAAGAGAGCAATCTCTAATTAGTCCCATACATGTGCTGAAATTAAGGAGAGGAAGAGAATGCTTATCTTCCCTAATGCATCTGTACATTACTTAGCTTTAATGGGTCTGATGTTTTGAAGAGATGGCACAACAAAACTTTTCAAAATGTCGGGTTCCTTTATTCATCTCAGGATCACAAAACAATCGTTTCATCAATTGCCCGGTCTGTATCAGGAATCCCTCAAGAGCTTGAACTACCTCAGCTGCATCTGTTTATAAATGATATAATATCAAGGGCATCCTAAGGCCATATTCATGACAAGGAGCAGCTTATTTAAAGTAAGTGCGAATGGGGAGGACACAGAAGAAGCTAGTCTTCATCCCCAGACTCAGAGGAGCAGGGTTCAGAGACCCCTAGCTGACCATTTTCCTCTTGGTTTTTCCAGCTCCCCATCTCCTAGCTATCAAAGAAAAGTTAAATTAAATTAATTAACCTACCAGTAACAGCACCTTAGCCTTGGATGTCAAGGTAGGGGTCTTGCTCAGGCCAGGTCTCTGCCTTTCTGACCTAAGCCCTGCCTCTAAATCCTCTGTCCCATCTCGCTCAAGGGCCTATGAGCTCACCTGAGATATGCTTCTCTGTTGATAGGCGTAGCACTACCAAGTCCATTTTGTCCTTCCAATGGGATACAGTCAACAATTACCCTACAGGAATTATTTCATATAAATGAAAATCTCTGGAAAAACTTTGCCTATGAGTTGATGTTAGTAGTGCATACATGGAGAAGTTTCTCCTCCAGTGTTTTCAAAGTATTATTCACATTAACACAGTTAATTCTATATAATCCCTTTGCTCTTCAGCCAGAGGTTTAGAATTTTTACCAAACAATAGCAAAATGGACCACAAACGTATCTCACCCTGCGCAATAGTTATATGTCCTAGGAGAATTTGCTATTTAAAGAATAATTTTGCAAAACCAGTAGTTCTTTTAGGATATAAATAATCCTCTCTTAATTTTCTGTTGAATAAGCCTGGTTTTTGTTTTGTTTTTTTGTATGCAACTGGCCTTAAATCAGAGCATGTGTGTATTGAGTTTTTGAATAGCTAAAAAGGCAAAGAGATTCATTTGAAGATTTTATTTGTTAATTTCCACTATCATAATTTATCAGTATTTTATGTTTTAGTGTTCATGGCATTTAGACCCACAATTTCCCACTCTCCCCCCAACAATTATTTTTCTGTATATGGTGTAGTTTAGAGAATCAAATAATGATAATACATCAGGAGTGGGAGCATCTGCATACCCGAAAACTTACCTTGTCTTTTATTCTCTCTCAGATTATACAACCCTTGCATTAATAAACCTGTGGCTAGTCAGAATTCCAGAAGACACTAAGAGCTGTTTAAATGCAAGAGTATTATAGATTAAATGGCTTCAGGTAAGATAGTCAGGATTGGGCCCTACTAATTACTTCAGCATTCTATCAGAAATAGCTAGGAGTTTTCGGTTTTAGCTCTTAGGTCAAAGATTTTATTTTCATTCTTATAAAAGAGGAAAAGTATGTCCATCTTTCTTTCCTCAGTGTAGGCTCAGAAGTCCTTGGGAAACGCAGAAATCACTTGAGGTAAGCAATCATCTCATAAAGTCACTTGGCTTCCCAATCACCAGCTTGAACCCAACACTCCTCATTCAAAGACCATTCTCTTTCCAGATCACAATGCTGCCTCCTAAAACATCGCCACAGTTCTTAAAAGTCCTGTGAGGCAGAGCTCCAAACCCTGCAATTACAAGTGTGTGTGTATATACAATGCCATTATAGGCATCATATAAAACTTAATAAATTTTAGTGATTGGAAAATTGACCAAATGTAGTATATCACATATTTTCCCCCCTCCCCATCCCCAAAAATGCTACCTGAAGGGCACAAGCATCATTCTAAACAGACCTGAAGAAGCAGTCTGAACTTTTGGGGCAAATAACATACGCTCTTGAATTTGAATTATTCAAAGAAAAAATATTTTGTTTATTTATTTTATCAATTAAATATATAATCTTAAAAATGAAAAAGTGTTTTCAGTCAGAGTATGGAGAAATTGAGTCATCTTTTTGGAAATTGTTTTGAAATTGTGAGTCTTAGGTCAATGGTTCTGGTTAGATGATGTTTTCTAGAAGGCCATGTTTCCCATATCTTCATGCTCTTGAATTTTTGTCATTTTAAACACTCCTGTAGATAACTTTCACTGGAACACAAGCAACACTCATTTTTGTAATAATAAAAAATGGGTATATGTTTTTATCTTTAAAAAGGCTTATTTATGTTAAGTGTCTATAGCCTTAATTAAGCTAGTTGAGAAGATAGCAAATATAAATATTTACCAAATTCTTTTACATCTTTGGTAGCTTGGATTAGTTCATGAAGTTTGTTAAAATTAATTCCTCTAGATTTAACATCTTCAATTTAATTTTGTCTTTTTAAACAATAATTTGGGAGAAAAGAAGATTGAGGCTATTTCATACAACAGAAACAATCTGGTCTTCTCATCTCCATGTGGCTTGGCACATTCTCATGTTTCTTACCTTCTGAATTTTGTGAAATAGAACAGTAACAATGTATGAGGTCTATTCAGGGAGGGAATTATTTATCAGTGTAGGATATGTTCTATCCAAGCCCAATTTTCAAGTAAATTCTGTCTGTTTTCCTAAGGGAAAAATTATTCCAAATTATGTTCTGGTATATTTTGCTCATAACTATGTCAACAGAAAAATGATACTTTTTAGACTTTTTTTCTCTTCCTATTTTTAACTTATATCTCTTTCTCATATTAGATTCATACCACTATGAAAGTTCTACCTTAAAACCCTAAAATATGTCTGTTTTATGAGGCAGTGGGCTATGAATTTATTTTTTAAAAATTTTCAAGATATTTTCATGCAAGAGAATCTGTAGGATCTATATAAAAAAGATTCCTTTATACGCT